ATCACAGAGCTAGTGAAACCAGAACCAGAATTCAAAACCAGCCTGCATGGCTGCAAATTCTGTGTCTAGGGCAGCCTCACGATGCATTGTCCAAACTGAAACACTTTTGAGAGTGCAAAGGGAACCCACCCAGAGGGATGTCAGGACAACGAATGCAAATAGGGCTCGGCTGGGTGAGCTGGGTGTGGAGTGGCCATCATGTTCCTTCTGAGCTGCAGAACAGGACCAGCCAGGAGAAGGCAGCGCCCAGCCCCACGTGTGTTTTAATAAAGACCAGAGCCCAGTCCTAGCAGGACTTCCTGAAAGTCCTTAGGACTACTGCTTTCCCCACTGTTTACCAGATCTGTCAACCTAGGTGATAATCCTGTAGTTACTAACACTGAAGTCCATCTTTTAAAACTTGAATAAATCTTCACACTTATTTTAGAGAAAAAAGAACAGAAAGGATATTGGAGAACCTGCATGGTGGGTGCTACAATCTGGGGAAGCAGGTGGTGTCTAGAGAACTGGAGTCAGGAGACGGGCCCAGCTGAATCCATGGGCTCAGGAAGGTGACAGGGAAGAGGATCTCAGTTATTACTCAATGCGGTGACTTACCACGTAAGAAACCAAGCCCAGTTAACCATCAAGCTCTGAGTTAGGAGGACAGACACAATGGCAGGAGATGGGGCCAGGACCAGTGGTTCAGAACAGGCTGAGTTCAAATCCTGACGCCACCAGCGACCCACCCAAATCCTTTCCTCTCAGTTTCCTTATTCGTAAGAATAAAGGGACAACGTTTACCTCACCAGATTCCTGTGAGGATTAAATGAAATAACATAAATACAATGCTTATGCCTGGCACATACTAACAGACCAGGACCTTGGTGGAGGGGAAGCTCCATGCAATGGAGCAGAGGAAGTAACATCTACAGGGTCGAGTGACTAGGTATGTGGTGAGGTCAGGGAGTAACCAGGGTGGCATCCAGGTCTCTGGCTTTGGTGACTAGGGAGAAAGCAGTGCCCCTGGTCATGATAGAGAATGAGAGGGAGGATCCGGCCTGGGGGTGGTGGGAATAATTGGGGGATGCTGATGAACTCGGCTTGTAGGCCTTATGGGTCTTCTGAGAGGACATGACACTGAGACCGAAGCTCAGGTGAGAGATGTAGCTTGGCAGTATGGGTCTCAGAGTCACTGGTATCCAGGTGGTGTTCAACCATCTAAGGTGGAAGGGGTGCCCCAGGGAGATGACACAGACTTTAACCTTAGCCTAGGACCTATGAACCCAAGTCTGAACACTGTGAAACTAGACACAAAACCTTGTCTGTGTGCATTTTCCTAGGTCCAAGCCTGCAGTAAATCTTCAAAGGAGTCTATGAGCCCCTTAACTCCACCTCAAGGTTACAAACCACCAGTGCAGAGTGAGGCACACTCTGGGGGACACGGATATTTAGAGCTCAGGCAGACACGAAAAAGAAACAGTCATGGAGAAAGCAAGAGACCATGGCCCCAAGAAAGAGAGAGACTCAGAAGGAATTCAGCAGAGTCAGACCTGGCTGAGGAACTGACTGAGATAGAAGTGAATCCAGCAATGGAGGTCACCACAGTGGGTCAAGAGTGAAGGCAGGGGCGAAGCAGACACTGCGGGTGGCACAAACCAATGGCTTTATCATCATTTCATGAAAAAGGGAAGGCTTTGCATAAGGGAACTTGCCCACTTAGTAACAATGAGAACCCAGCAATGAAGCTTCACGAGTCCAAGTCTGTGACAAGGGCACACACGGAGCTCCTCCCACACCACCCAGAGCGACCAAATCCCAGCCTGTGGCATTAGGTTTCCCTCAAATTGACAGGGCCTGGATGGAACAAGTGCTGGGCAACCCTCTACTAAGTGAGGCCTCCTCTGCTTGTGTTACGGGGAAAAATCCTAGAGAATAAAGGCTCCACAGCAAGGCCCCGGTGCAAGCGTAGGTTTTAGACACGTGCCAGGCACCTGCAGACAACAGCAACTGTTATTACACTCCACGAAAGCCCGGTGGGTATCACACTTACAAACAGCACCAGCTGTGGGAGAGCCAGGCTCAGGGTCTAGTGCAGCCTAGCTGTTGCCCTGGGCAAGTCACTTAATGCCCCTTGGCCTCACTCTCCTCATCCGTAAAATGTGAACAATAATTCAACTTCAGGCTTGGCTGTGACTATTTATGAGAGAATATATTTAAGCACTGAACTCGGTCTGATCACCGTGAGCTCAATACACGCTGGCTGGAGCAGCTTTTACAGTCTAGAGCGGCGCTGTCCAAACGTGAGCTCTACCTGTAATTATACGTTTTCCAGGGGCCCGGCTAAAAAATCAAAAGCAGCAGATGAAATTAATTTTAATACATTTTATTTTACCCACGTTATCCAAATTATGACGTTAATATATAATGAATATAAATTTATGAACGTGGCATTTTACATGATTTTCTTCCTACCAAGTCCTTGAAATCCGGCAGTTTACACTTCCAGCATACCTCAGTGTAGATGAGCCTCAGTCCATGTGCTCAGCAGCCGCACGTGCTGGTGGTACCACATGGACGACGTAGCTCTAGACCTCTGGTGACAGGTACCCCAGCAGGCAGAGGAGGTCCCTAATTCTCTCCCTCTCTGAGAGTCACATTTCCCCACTACATTTTCAAGTGATTTTCTGATCCATAAGTGAGTTAAATCAGTACTTCTGACTGTTTTTCGGCCCCTCCTACTTTCGCCTTAGATCACTAAAAGGGGCACAGGCTCCGGGGACACACGTGAGCAAACGCTTTCATGATGCTCTGAAAACTCACCATAGCAGACTCAGAGAGAAAAAAGTCACCAGACGACAATGAAAGAGCCGCTCAGAGATGAGCTAGAATGGCGTCAAGGAATGGGGGCTGAGAAGGGATGTATTTAATGAGCCAAGAAAGGACAATCTCCACAGCCACAGCCTGGCTAAGAACTGCCAAGAAAAAGCAGCACTTGAGTAAGCCTGGGACAGGCCGGGTGCGGTGGGGGAGGGCTGGGGACAGGGACTGGAAGGGAGACAGGCGGGAGAGCGGGAGGCAGGGCACAGGCCTGAAAGGAGAAGGACACAGTGAGGTCTCAATACACAACAGCCAAGAGCTTAGTAGGTCTGCAGTCCAGACACACCTGTAGGGAGCACCAGCCATGATAACGCTGCCTTGTACTATCTGTGGCTTTATCATCAAAGATAGAACTGGATGAAAGATAGATAGGTGCTGTCTTTCTAGGGGAAATAGGACAAGAATCTGAAACCTTTTCCTTGTCTGCAGTTAGGAGAGGAACCAGGTTAGTGCAAAATCTATTTTTCCAAGTGTTGAATTTAAGGGAGTAATAAACTCCTGACATGAAATACTGATAAAACTTTCACTGTGTATATTAACATACTTTTTTCATGATCATTGAATTCATAAAGTAATACAGGTTTTCTGAGAACTAAAGTCAAAACTCAGCAAAAGAAGAATTTAAGCAAAGAAATTGAAATTATTTTCTTAAGTCATCACAAGGAGAGTGAGCATAAGAAGCCAAAAGTCTCACCCAGAGTCTGGGCCATTGACTCTCGGGGCAAGAACCCCTCAGCTCTCAGCAGTCCCCAAAGTCACCTACCATATCAATAAGTTATGTCACAATGAACATGGGACCAAAGAGGCCCAGTTCTATCTTACAAACTCCGACTAAAGATTGCAAGGAGATCCACAAACCAGTTCAGAACGATAAAAGGGTTACGCTTCAGTTTGGACACACTACTTGTCGAAGGGAAAATTCTATATCAGATAGTGTAGAATACTGTGAAATCCAACGGATCTGGGCACCTACTGGCAATGTGACCTTGCAAATATTACTTAACTTCTCTGATTCCAAGTTTTTTTCACCTGTAAAAGAGGACAATTAATACTGACTTTGCAGAAGTTTTATGAAGATGAGACATGATATATGTAAAAGTGCTTTGCACAGAGTCTGAAAAAACAGGTATTTAATAAATAGCTGCTATTGATAATAATAATAATAATAAATGAGATACTTATATTTATTTACGTATCACTACAAAGGCTTAATTGAAAAATGTTTTACTAAAAGGCAGCATAAGGTAAAGATCACTAAACTGACTTCCCTCTTGAGACTGTGTATATACCAGCCTGTGAGTGAGATTCATTTTCTCAATCTTTGAAACTATGAATAGTTCTAACAAATTTTGCTTTTCCTGGCTTAATGAACAACAAGGAGAAATTGGTCTTGAATGCCTCTGTAAGTGACTTTGAAAAGTGTGTTTTATTATTATTTTTTTAAACAACTCAGGTATTCATCTATGACAGATGCGGGGGGTGGTTAATCTGTGCTTTTCTATGTCTGTGTGTGCATATGCTTTAAATCTTGATGTGCAAAGAATTCCTCTCCCACGGTCTTGCAAGGCCCTCTCAAGCTCCCGGGGATTCCTCCAATCAGGAAGAAGTACATCTGAAAAATTAACTCACACTGAAAAATTAGTATTATGACTTTTTTCCTTACAGCAGTATTTGCATTTTAAGAGGGAGTTTCTCTAAAATAGATAACCCAAAGAAAAATCTCTTAAAGTCTAAGAAATGCAAATACAATTGTTATAAAGATGCTGACACAGGACTTTGTATGCTGGCAGCAGAATACGAGCCATCTGTCACAATAAGGGGCATAGAAACCTGCCTTAATACCCCTGAAATCGAACTTCACAGGTGACTTCTCACTTCAGCTTAAGGTTAGTCTCGTTTCAAGGAAGGGATCTGCTCACAGCTACACCACTCCACGGTAAGCGCTGTGCCTGCAGACTTGAAGTGGATGAACCACCCTAGTGCAATCTCAATAACACTTAAGGTCCAGCTACCAAATTGGAACTCGCACCTGGCTTGCTTTTGGCCTGCGTGAAGCTGGCTGGTGTGAAGCTGGCTAACGTTAAAACAAGCCGGGAGCCATTCCACTGACACCTTCCCAGCAGAGACGCAGCTAAGCTTACCTTTCTTCGGTCTGGATTTCACTGGCAAGGACTCCTTGTTTTCCATTGCTGCTTCTCTTTCTTTCCACCGGCGGATCTGTTCCTCCCGCATCTTGAAGAACAGGATCTGTTTCTGTTCTTCGCTGAGCTCTGCCAGCAGATCAGGATCTATGTACATCTCCGACAGGATCTGTTTCAGCATCTTCGCAGGGCTGGAGTCTTTTACACCTGTGGCAGAAGTTCTTGAAAATGGCTTCCAGTTGTGCCGCCAGCCGGGCCGGCACCTGGACACACCCACAGACCTTCCCCGAAACTCTCAGCAATCCCGAGTGACAGCCACAGAAATTCAGCAAACTGGCTCTTGGTTCCTGGCACCAAACATCCAGTTCAAAATGCCATTCGTGAACCTGCAAAGAGCAAGAGCCAAAGAGCAGGCAGTATTACAACGTGCAGAGGCCGGGCAAGGACAGGTTTATGCACAAAGCTGGGAGGAAATACGGTATCGCTTTTCACGTCGGGAAAAGAGAAGAAAAGCCAAGGCACGCTTTGTTAAGAGTTTGTGTAACCTTTACCCCGTAATTTCCAAAGATACTTTATCAAAAAAAACAAAACCAGCCCTAACTTTTTACAGCTCAATCTCAGGGACACAAAAAAAATTAACAGAGGTTTGGCCTTCTCCCAACCAAGCAACATATTATTACCTTGGGCCTAACAAACCACCAAGTGTATGGCCAAGAAAAGAATTAAAGAAAAAAAAAGCCACAGGAAGAAATTAAAAGACTCTCTCCAGACAATGTATTTTTAAAAAAATACCATTTTTGAGATTTCACAGAGTTACTCACCCCAAACCAAACCAAACCAGAGCCATGCTCAAAGAAAAAAATCAAAGAAATAAAAACTGGACCACAATGCAATTTTCCCATTTCCCTTTAAAAGTAGCACTAAAGAAACACAATTATGTACTTTCATCTTCACAAAATGACAATGCAATTTCCAAACAACCTACCGGAACCATGAAAACACTGCAGGCGCAAGAGAGAACATTGGTGTACGTTCTGGAAGGTCACCAGGTGTTAGGTGTACCTCTTCTAGATAACCTAATTTAATAAAATCTAAATTTACAGACCAGATAAACTGGAGGAATGAAGAGGTGCCTAGGTTCATTACAAAGGCTCTTGCTTTCTAACAGAGTTTATTAGAGGGCTCCTGTAAAAAGAAACCATGGACCCGCGCCTGCACAAGTGGTCTCACAGCGGTTCTGCTGGAAGAGGGCGGGGGCAATTCCACTGAGGTTTCTACTTTACACATTTCTATTTGGTTGGGTTTTTTTTTTAAAAATAGAAAACCCTCATACTTTTGTAATCAGAAGAAAATTATGTATACATTTCCATTCTGGAAGAAAAGACTTTTAATTTGCTTTAATATAACAGGGTACACAAAAGCTTACCCACTGGGACTTTTCAGAATCACATATGTTCTAAGAAACGGATGAATAATTTGGTGCTTCCAATGCCTCAATAATCTCACCACCTAGCCATGCCCTCTCAACTATCTTTTTGCTCCATACTTAGTTCAAATGCTCTTAACCTGCAGGCTCGCAGCCATAGCACGGCTCGTCCTGGTTCCTTCACCTTCTCCTCCACACGCCGGTTTATGATGCGCCCCCCCAACCCCGGGAGCAACCTCTCTTTGTCTTCCTCGAAAAGCGGCGTCCTGACTCACACCAGTCTTTTGAGACAAGCACGCTCAACAGCTGGGGCGCCCGGAGTGGTCTGCAGGTCCACGAACCACTCGTGTAGGAGGGGCCCTACCGAGGCTGCTTCTACTCTTGCTAACTGCATCCTGTAATCCGCAGCATTCAACTACCGGAGCGCAAACGGAACACAGCATTAAGAGAAAATAAAAAAACAGTTAAAAGCAGTGTCTGACTCTAACTCAGTCAGGCACACCCAGCCCAGGCTCCCCTTCGAGCTTTGTATTTTGCTTTGAGGGGACCCTCAAAGGCTCTAACAGCCACAGAACTGATGTCTTGTAACACTTTCTTGACCTTTGGGTTCTAACAGCTTTTCCAGGGCTGGGGCCAACTAAATCCACACTAAACAAAGGTTTCTGGAGGCTGAGCTCCTGTCTGTCGACGACAGGAACACAAGAAGAATTTGGTTCCTCAGCACACTTGACTCGGGCGCTCTGAGATGAAGTGGGAAGAAACCAAAGTGAATGGCTCCTTGACATTCCAGTAAATGTCTTACGTTGGCATATTCCATGACTCCAGTGGGTGACTTTCACAGAAATAAAGCATGGTAGGAAATCAGCAGCCCAGCGAAGCTTGAGGCTTCTGCTCTGCTCTCCATTTTGAATGGAGGTGAAGGCTAGCAACAGCAATGCTGTGGCTAGAGCCTAAAAACCAAAATCTTGAGAGTGCCAAATTCTCACTCCTCCCCTCTCCCCCCAGAGTGCTCCTTGTAGAAGAGTGACACTGGCTGTGCTGGCCGCCACCTGAAGCACTTGACGTGCATTCACTCATTTAACCCTCACAATAATCCGCAGAGTTCAGTCCTTCATTACCCCCATTTCACAGAGGAGGAAGATGGGCAGTCGGGCTCTACGTCAGCTCTACTGTGCTCCATCAGGACAGTAGAGTTTCTTTGTGAACCCGGAATCAGAATACCATCAGGATGTGCCACCACATGGGAAAGTTTGGAATGAAAACCAGCAAATTCATGCAACGACAGAAATGCTGAACTGAAGGTGCAGAGAGCCTCTGGGGCGGAGCCGCCTCCTGGGAACTGCAGCTGAGCTGGGGGCCAGGGCTGGGAAAAGACCTCGCCTCAGGAAGCACAGCAAGGAGCTGACAGGCCTGCTGGCCCCAGGCTGGGTGCTGCCTGCCCACATTATTCACCGGGCACTCAGTTTCCCCTCACACGACCACCAGGAGTAGCAGAAACAACTCCGCTGCATCTGTGACGAGACGCTCCCGCTCTTCCACGGTTGTCATCTTGTTTTGTTTTGCCCTTTGTAGCAAACATGGATTTTTAGCATTAAAGTTAACTAGTGGATCCTCAGAGAATACTTGGAGACCCAGCTGACGACTGTCTTGTGGTCAGGGTGCTGAATTACATGCATGCCACTCTACAGCTGCTCATTCCCGCTGCTGTGAATGAACTCTTTCCTCCGTGAGCTTTCCACTGGGAACTCAAACACAGCACGGGTGCTCCCAGCCTGGGCGCCTACTTCTGTCTCTCATGAGCTGCGTAACTCTGGGCTCTCACTTCTCTGGACTCATCTGTGAAACGCGGGCCTGAACTGTGAGTTTTTGTAATTTGAGGATTCTATCATAAAATCTAATGAGAAGTTACAAAGACAAGTGGAGCCAGCATCAAGGAAATGGAAATGAGGACATGACCCTGGGTTTTCCCACTTTCACTCCCCTCACTTCCCGGCAGGACAATCATCGCTGATTCCAGCTCAGTGACCTTCCCCTGTGTAACAGACTGACCGCAGCAAACTTCCAGTCACTCGAGGTCCAGGAGAAAGAGATGCTCAGCTAACTGGGTTTCCTTCTTGTACAGTACAATCTTAAAAGAGAAATGACAAGCAACCAGCCCACATCTGCCGGTTATTCCAAAAATAAATTTCTAAAGGGTTGTTTTCCAGGATACCCACAGATCTGCCCTCTCACACCTTCCACAGCCCTGTTCCACAAAACGGTAACTGTGATTTTAATGACACTGACCTTAAAAAAAAAAAAAAAAAGCCTGAAATACAGCCTAACTCATAAAAATACTGTAATACGGGCAGTATAACTTTAATGTTAAGAATATAGTTTGACTTCTAATTCTTTTAAAATAGCCAGCTCTGTTTTTAGACTCAGTTATCTTATTCAACTCTACGTTATTAATTTATCTGCAAAACGACTATCTTTGAGGATAAAATTAATTACCAGAGGGGCCAGCAATTTGGTAAGTTTTGTAAATATTGGAAAAGTTGGAAGTTACTGTACCCACGGACTTACCTAGAAAATTCTACTCATGTGCCAACACGATGCCCACATATGCCTTCCACTTATTTATTCACTTAAAAATAATTGTATCCAAGTTGTTGTCATTAAACAGGCAATCAAGTCAGTGTTTCAGGAGGTGATGGGACTCCAGGCTCTGAGAGAGAGAGGCGGCCCGCGAGCTTCCTCCCTGGGACCCCGGGGTGGGGGGGTGCAGGACAACTCGGGAAACCTCCGCGCCGGCCCCCTCCCGCAGGGCGCCCCCTGGTGGAGGAAGGTGCCAGGCGGCGCGGGGCTGCCCTCCGAGTGCAGAAACCCACCCAGCCCAGACCCTCCCGCGCGGCCGCCCCCTCCCTCCGGGCGTCCCCGCGTAACGCGCCTGCGCACAGCCCTGGGGGACACGGAGCGCCCCTCGGCCTCCCCCGCCGCGGGCACAGTCTCTCACCGCCGGCGGCTCCGGACACCCGACACCGGCCACCGGACACCGGCCGCCCAGCCCCACACCTGAGCCCGGGCCGCGCGGGGGCCGTGGGGGGGCGTGCGGGCCCACCCAGGCCTCGCGTCCGCCGCCCCTTGGAGGGCCCCCGGCGCGCACACCCCCGCGCACACACGGTCTTCGCCCCCCGCCGCCGCCGCCGTCCGGCCGCCCTTCCCCGTCCGGCCCCTACCTGTGTCCGGCCCGCGACGGCGACCAAGCCGCGCACAGCCCCCGGGCGGCGGAGGCGACCGCGGGCGGCCGGGCCGGATGGACACAGTCGCGGCCGGCGGCGGGCAGAGCGGCCCGCCCGCGCCCGCCCCCGCCCCCTCGCCGGCCCGCCCCGGCCCGCCCGCGCCCCTGGAGGCGCTCCGGCGCCCGCCCGCCGCCCGGCATCCCGGGAGGCCTCGCCCCCGCGCGCCCGGTGGCCTGCCCTGCTCGCTCCGCAGCGCGGGGGGGCCTGCGGCCGGCGGGCCCTCTGAGACCCCGAGGCCCCGGGGCCCGTGCGCTCCGCTCTCAGGCTCTGCTCCTGCGTCTCTGGAGCTTACTTTTATCCCCCTTTTGTTGACACTAAGTAAACCATCAAACTCTGGGCACTTTTGTCAGTACAGGTGTGGCTTTGTAGGACAGGATCAAGGAGGAGACAGGCTGGAAAGATGGAGACTGAAAACAAGAGACGGGGAGAGAAAAATGGAAGAAATCTGGAGAAAAAGAGACGGTAAAGGAGTCTTGTGAACTGCAGCAACAACAGGTGGGGGTGCGTGGAGGCAGGAGCTGGCTGAGGACAGGAAGAGGACACCTTGGAGGCAGGGCAGTCCGGCAGCAGCCGAGGGGACAGGCTGGAGGGCACTCCGCGTTGTAGGGGAGCGTTCAGCCGCGTGGAGAAGAGCTGCCCAGGCTGCAGGTGCTCGGGACGGGGAGGAAGCGGTGAGCGCAGGAGCCCCAGAAGCCCCCCTCCACGGCCCCCCTGGGAGTCAGGAGCCGACGTGCTCTGTTCCGAAGTGAAACTTTCTCAGTCGTAGGCTCTCCACACTGCAGAAGATATTCCAGGTTAGAAAGAGCCTGGAGCCAGATCAGTCCTTGAGACCTAGCTATCTAGGAACCATTCTAGGGAGCCTGTCAGTGTCCTTTGCCCCTGGTTAGCGGCTGTGGCCGGCTCAAAATGAATCCTAAAACGCCATGGATTGAACAGTTGAAGAATTGTGTAAAGGGTGGTTCATCAGCCAGTAAAAATTCCACAGGACACTGGTAACAGCTAATTGCCTTCCTCCACATTCCACCTGCCCCATGTCCTGACAAGGCCTTCTGCATAACACTGCTCCCACTTCGCCACGGCACTTTTCCGCTCTGGATGATCGCAGTGCCCACCTCATTAAGTTATTGTGCGAGTTAAATGAGCTAATACGTGTAACGTGCTTGGAACAGTTGCTGGATGTGGTAAGCATTCAAACCCATTACCTTATATTATTTCACAGCACATACCACAGTTTCAAGTCACCACCTCGCACCGGGCTGTGGATTCTGCCTCCTGTGGTGCTCCAAGTCACCTCAGGGATCCCCACCTCCTACCACTCACTTCTCAGGTTAGGTTCTAAAGGATCTTGTAGCTTGTCTTGGGGTGTATGTGTCCCCCTCTCTTGGATCATTCGCTCTGAGGGAAGCCAGCCACTCTGTCAGGAGCAGCCCCAGGGAGAGGCCCCCGAGGCCGGGAACTGAGGACAGCAGCTTCAGAAGGAACTTGGAAGTGGATCCTGCAGCCCCACTCAAGCTTTCACTGACTGCAGCGTTGGCCTATAGCTTCCGTGCGAATTCATGAGCCCATCCAATGAAGCCAGTCTCAAATGCTGCAGGGCTAAATCTGTGTTGTGTTAAGCCACCAAGTTTGGGGAAACTTGTTAGACTTGTCTTGTTTCTAAGCCAGTTTTAGCTAGCTTCCATGTACAGGAAATTTCATGTACTGGATAGCTTATTTAAACATAGATCCAGATCTCACACTAGAGCAAAGGAATATAATACCTGCATTCTGAACAAGGGCTCTGAATGATCGGATCAAAGAGGAGGTTACAGTTCGTGCTTTCAGAAACTCCACTCCAGGCTTTCCAGGTCAGACGTTTCTGAATGAAGTTTTCAAATTCATTTTTTTTCCCATGCTGAGGAAGATTTACCCTGAACTAACATCTGTGCCAATCTTCCTCTATTTTGTAGGTGGGTCACCACCACAGCATGGCCACCATGGGTGGTGTAGGTCCACACCCAAGAACCAAACCCAGGCTGCCAAAGCGGACTGCGCTGAACTTAAACACTAGGGCACAGGGCCGGCCCCTCAAATTCATCTTTTTCAACAATAACTCTGATCCTTCATTTGGTGGCTAAAAAATCTTCAATGCTCACCCCTCCTTCTTGTCCAAAGAAGACTCAGCCTCTTGCCAACTTTCAAGGACCAGGGCAGTCTAACGCTAAACTCCTTCCAGCTTTATCATCTTCCTAGTACAAACCCTGTGTTCAGATAATCTGGCATTTTCCAGGCCCTAAACCTACATGGGCTCTGCGGCTTCACAATGTGGCCTTTGTCTAAAATGTCTTGCTGCACAACTTACCTTGTGAAAATCCCACCTATCTTTCAAGTGTCAATCTTTAAGAACTTCTTCCTGCCTCTCCTCTCCCCAGCCGGAAACAGTCCTGGCCTCTTCCGTGTTCGTAGCACTTGTATGATAAGTTAGCACTTAACATTTCCAAGAACCATCTAATGAACACCTGCTAAGTGCCAGGCTCTGTGGTGACACATGGGGGACACAGAGAGCAGATAGCCGGGGCCCATGCTGCCATCTTTGATGCAGCACTGCCTCCTACAGTAGCTGTGTGAATATTTTATGCCTCTTTGACTTTGTAAACATCTTGATAGCAAGGCTAGTGCTGTGCAAGGCTGAATCCCACCCAACACCCAGGCGCACAGGAGGAATGCAGTGCGCGTTAGTTCAGGGGTGACCAAATGAACATGCAGTGCGCGTTGTTCAGGGGTGACCAAATGAACATGCAGTGCATGTTAGTTCAGGGGTGACCAAATGAACATGCAGTGTGCGTTAGTTCAGGTGCGCCCAGATGAACAGGTCGTGCCGTGCGCGTTAGTTCAGGGGCGCCCGGATGAACAGGCCGTGCGTGTGAGTTCAACAGCCCAAGTGCACACAGGCTGTACACAAATAATGCAATCATTCACTCACCTGGGAGCCCAGTATCTCTTTCCTCTTCTTTCTTTGTCTCCTTTCCATCCTTCTTGTCATGTGCCTCTTTCCTGTATTTGTAAATCTCTCTCTCCTCCTCCTCCTATTTCTGTAGTTCTTTCTCCATCCTCTTCACTTTGTCTCCCCTCTCCTTTCCACCTTTCTTTTTTGTTTCCGCTCTCCTGTCTCCCAGTATTTCCTCTTTCAGTTGGCATAATCTGGAAAAGAAAAAATATGTATTTTTCCTTAACTTCAAAAGTAGACAGTTAGAATGTTTTACATTGCTCTAAAAAACACCAAGCGGCTCTTGTGCTTACTTATGAGGCCCTCAATTACTTTTTCTGAGAGCACTGGCTCCCTTTGGCTCCCTTTGGGCCAGTGCTCTCAGAAGAAAGCATTTCTCCACTCCGTGACCCAGGATGCATTGTGGAGAGGACTGTTGCCTTTGCATGCTGGCAACACTCCAGATAGAATGTCAGGTATGGGCGGCTGGGCCTTGGCAGGGGACAGGAGCTGAGCCTCTGCTGCAGGCAAGTCAGAGACGTGTATGATAGGTGTCATCAGCATATGTGTTCAGGAGTGCCCTGACGCTCACCCAGGGCCAGGGTTCCAAGAGAAAAGCTAACTAGCTATTTACTATTAATGTCTAATAGTAATAGGAAGTTGACTAATTTTTTTAATTTGTCATTTATTTGTAGTAAGGAGACCATGAAACAAATATCCTCCATTTTAACGGATATGTTCCCTGGCATTCCTTTGAGAATGTTAAGAACCCTGCTGCCCAGGGCTGTCCTGCGCACCCAGGGCACTGCACAACCGGAGCGGCGCCAGGCAGCCCGCAGAGCGCGAGGCACCCCCCGGGAGCTGTGCACACAGCCCCCGACTGTGCCAGAAAGACTAGTGAAGCCATTTTTCTCTTCTTGTAAGTAAAGGTCAATTTGGGTTTAAATTCTTCAGAAAATGAAAGTTCCTTTCAGATTTTTTTCTTATAAAAGAAAATAGGGTAAACACCAAAAATATTTTTCCTGTTGTATTTTATCATACCATCAGAAACCCCACCACTTTTTTAATTCTTGAAGTAAGTTCTACATTTGTCCCACAGTGAATGTGAAGAGGAGCTGAAAGAAAAAGAGTAAACATTGCAATTTTCCTAAAAATTGATCAAATCTCAACATAAATCTCAGTCATCCATCATAAAAGAAATGTATTGAAGGTGCACTATGTTTTCAGTTTTCTGCCAGCAATTAGATTTGATTTTGAACAATTTTCATGCCTTTATGATTCTATGTGGGCTTTTTTTTCATCTCAAATATCAAGATAAGTTATTGGTCTTTACATTCATCTTTGACTTAATTAGATGACTCTAATTTTTGATGTTTTGTCCAGAATTACCTTTATGGGATTGTTTCCCCAAAGTCTACGCTCTGAGTTGCTGCTAGACATTCCTCACTCCCTGTGTTCTGCAGCGCAGTGGGGAGCAGTCTGCGGCCCAGAGGACTGCTGGCCTGAGGCGTGTGGGTGGAGTTGGACCCC